CTTTTGGAAAAACTTTGAACAAAACACATTTGCCACACTTGTAATAGTTAAGACACATCATTTATCTATTGAGATGCATCAGATTTGTTAACATTAGGTATAAGGTACAGTGGACATGGTGGGTGGCATACAGCAGTATGATTTTAGTAATTATCATGAGGTGCTTTTTTTTTAATAGATTTAGCAGATGAAATTGGGATGCCTAATGGGGAATAGCTGGAGTAATCTCCTTTTGGTTAAATAAATCTGAGGTAATAAATGTCAGTGTAAGAAGACATTGAGTTTTCTTTTATTGAGCCATCTTGGTTATTTTAATCTGGGATCTGTGAATTCTCATTTTCTCTAGTCAAATTGTAACTTAAAAAGTATTTTATTCCTCATCATGTTGGACTAACTCTGCTGCTTCTGGGATTTTTTTGTACATCTGACAATTGGAAATGGAGACAATAGTATAATTAAAATGAGATGTACCAAGTAAAGTATGTATTTTTCTTCTGATACGTATTTTGGAATTCTTCTAAAATTCCTTGTTAAATTTAGTTGAATCCCTGGTTAAGACTTTTGGAGCCACACTACTGAGTACACCTATGAAACTTTGTTCATAAATGCATATAGAACCTGGGAAAGTTGATGTATATCTTATGCTGTAGAGACGTAAGATGGAACATCTTTTTTTATCCTTTTTCATTATAAAATTTAAAAACAAATTTTAGGTTTTCAATAGGATCAAATCATGATAAATTTAAATACAATTCCCAAGAATTCTTTCCACATTTGAATTTCTCCACTTATACTATGTTTCTTTATGTTGTAAATATGTCAAGCATTAATGAGGAATTGATTACTATGTGGATATCTCTTGTGGTTAGACAAGTTCTGATGTATCCCCTCCATGTCCCAGGAGGCTGATTTTCTAGCTGATGTATGGATCATCTTCATTGCTTCTAATGGAGACGTGCATTGGTATCTGGGAATCTAGCCTCATCTGCCCATGATGTCAGCAGGTCAGGACCATGGGAAATCTCCTCTGGCCTCCTTCTCAGTATGTGCCATTCCAACCACTCCCACCATCTTCACAGAATTCCTGACTCTGGGGCTTTCCTCATATTGCTCAAGAACTGTGTGGTTGGTTTCTGTGTCTGTGGATGTTAGTGTGAGGGTGAAAGGAACCTTGGAGAGCAGGACAGGTGTCTGCTCTTGGTGGCATAGGTGACAGTCATAGATCTGAGGTGTTAAGTTATGTCATTCAGATGCACCCTGTAGATCTTGGCTGGCCTAGGAAGGGACACCAATGCCACATCCTCAGTTCTGGAGCTGGAGAACGGGTGAATAAGGTTGAGATTTTAAAGATATTTTTATCAAAAATTGGTGCACTGAAACAAGACCAATGTGTCTCCAGTTGTACAGAGGCAGCTACAAAAGTTCTGTAGAAAGACTGTTTCATCCAGAGCCAGCACTGTGGTGCAGTAGGTTAATCCTCCATGTGGGGTGCGGGCATCCCATATGGGCACCATTTCTAGTCCCGGCTGCTCTTCTTCTTATCCAGCTCTCTGCTGTGGCCTGGCAAAGCAGCAGAAGATGGCCCAGGTGCTTGGGCTCCTGCACCTGGGTGGGAGCCCAGGAAGAAGCACCTGACTCCTGGCTTTAGATCAGCACAGCTCCATCCATTGTGTCCATTTTGAGAGTGAAACAATGGAAGGAAGACATTTCTCTCTGCCTCTCTCTCTCACTGTCTGTAATTCTACCTGTCAAATAAATAAATAAAATTCTTAAAATAAGAAAGAAAGAAAGAAAGTCTGTTTCATCCAAGATGGCAATGTGATGGAGCTGGGTGTTCAGGCCATTTGAGATGAAACCTGTATGGGTGACTGTCAATTGCAGCTCTGTCACTGTTTTGAACTGTCACTCACATGGGATACAGGCAGCAGCTTTACCCACTAAGCCACAGTGCCAGTCCCCAAAATAACTTTCATTAATGTAAATTTTACTGAATGTAATTAATTTCAACAATAACAAAGTTTTACTCTTTTTTATTGTTACAATATCATTTAATAAAATTTTTGCAATGCTCCATTCCTGCTGACTACCTCCAAAGCATGGAATTGAGGAAACAGCTGCTGAATGCAGGAGACTGGGTGCCCAGGCTCATCCTTTTGTGGTTGACTGCAGTAACCAAGAAGATATTTACAGCTCTGCAAAGAAGGTAAAGGCAGAAATTGGAGATGTTAGCATCTTAGTAAATAATGCTGGTGTAGTCTACACATCTGATTTGTTTGCTACACAAGACCCTCAGATTGAAAAAAACTTTTGAAGTTAATGTGCTTGCGCATTTCTGGACTACAAAGGCATTTCTTCCAGCGATGATGAAGAACAATCATGGTCATATTGTCACTGTGGCTTCCGCAGGTGGACATACTGTGGTCCCCTTCTTACTGGCTTATTGTTCCAGCAAGTTTGCTGCTGTTGGGTTTCACAGAGCTTTGACTGACGAGCTGGCTGCCTTAGAAAGAACCTGAGTCAAGACGACATGTCTCTGCCCGAATTTCATAAACACTGGCTTCATCAAAAATCCAAGCACCAGCCTGGGACCCACCCTGGAACTTGAGCAAGTGGTAAACAAGCTGATGAATGGGATCCTGACAGAGGAGAAAATGATCTTTGTGCCGTCTTCTATACACTTTTTAATGATATTGGAAAGGATCCTTCCTGAGCGTTTCCTGGCACTTGCAAAACGAAAGCTCAATGTTAAGTTTGATGCAGTAATTGGATATAAAAAGAAAGAATAAGTGTCTGGTCTTCCTGAACACTGATTCCCCACATTTAAGTGATTTCTCGTAACATTAATCAGTTTCAACGTTGGAAGTTCCCTTTTTCCTAATTGTCCTTTTTTCTTCAGTATCACCCTGACTATTCTCATTTATCTCCACTTTTTGTTTATCTGAAACATGATTTCCTGTATCACAGAAATGACCATAGGAATTGACTTTACAGAAAATGAGGAAAAGGAACAAAAACAATATGACAGTAATTCCTGGGGGAAAAAAAAATTTTTTTTTTGCAATGCTTTCATTAAACCAAAGATAACTTCTGATTAATCTCTGCCACTTAATAGAGGTGGGTTCAGTTGCCGTATATTTGCAGGTTTAAATGATTTTTCCTCCTTGAAATTTATGTTTTCTTTATTTATGTATTCATGATTCTTTATTCATTCTAGCACTCCGTTTTCTACAGTACAATGTAGAAAGAAAGCCATGAAATTTTCTTTTAAATCCTTGCATTTATGTTTTCTTCCAGGAATGATTCATGACACCTCCAGATATTTCAAAGAGCAGAGAAAATTAATACATCACCTGCAGATTGTGTACTTTTAAAAACATATTTATTTTATGCATTTGAAAGACATAGTCACAGAGAGTAACAGAAAAAGAGAGAGAGAGAGTCTTGCATCTGCTGGTTCATTCCCCAAAAGGCCACAAAGGTCAGAGCTGAGCCAATCTATAGGCAAGAGGCAGGATCCTTCTGCATCTCTCACATAGGTGCATGGGTCCACACCCTTGAGTCATCCTCCAGTACCTTCCCAGTAATATTTGTAGGAGCAGGATTTGAGGTGGAGAAGCCAGGACTCAAACTGGCACTCATATGGGATGCTGGCTCTGAGGGCTGGGGCTTTATCCCACTGTGCAACAGCACTGGCCCTGTAAGTGTTTTTTTTTTAATTATTCTCAGGTTGCTGTCAGTTTTCTTTTTAGATTTATAATAATTTGTTAATAAAAATGGGAAAATAAAGATAAATTTTATTCTTAGGGAATATATAAAAACAAGACAAATGAATTTGTCATGACTATCAAGCATTGAAGTAATCTAACATAAGGCAATTTGGTCTCATCTTTCTGTTGCCATAGCAAAATACATATTATTTATATTTTTAAATGAGGCTTCAAGGATAATATTCGAAATTGGGGGTCATGATGTCAAATACAGTCATTATTGTTATATAGATGATGTAGTGGGCAGTGTTTCAGTACCACCATGGAAATAAACACTGAACATTCTGCAAGAGTAAGAGTTAGCTAGTGCTAAAACACAAATCAGTTGCATTTATTTTTTTAATTGTTAGAGTAATGCAGACCTTCATAATTGGGGGAGCTGACCTTGATTCAGAGATAGCATAAGGGCTGTGTGAGGAAAAAAAATCTATTGCAGGTTCTTTTATGTTTTACGTTTTTATTTAAAAATTTATTTTTTATTTGAAAGTCAGAGTTACAAAGAGAGAGAGGCAGAGAGAGAGAGAGAGAGTAGAGATCTTCATCTGCTGGTTCACTCCCTGGCTGCCCACAATGCCCGGAGCTGTGCTGATCTGAAGCCAGGAGCCAGAGCTTCTTCTCAGTCTCCCACATGGGTTAAAGGACCCAAGGGTTTGGTTCTTCTTCTACTACTTTCCCAGGTCATAGCAGAGTGCTAGATCAGAAGTGGAGCAGCTGGGTCTAGAAATGGCACCCATATGAGATGTCAGCACTTTAGGCAAGGGTGTTAACCCACTGCACCACAGCTCTGGCCCCAAGATTTATTTATTAACTTATTTGAAAGGCAAATAGAGATATGGAAGGATGGGTAGTAAGAGATACCTTCCATCTACTGGTTCGTTCACAAAATGACCACAGGCATCCCATGTGGAGCACCAAGGACTCAAACGGTTCACATTGGGATGCCTGAATTGCAGGTGGAGGGTGCAGGCTTATCTGTTGCACCATAATACTGGTGCCTACTCTGTTCTCAAACAAATCTCTCTGCATTTCCCTCAGTCACAAATGCAGATTATAGTACAGAATTTCTCAAGGAAATTTCTTTGGAAATTTGATGCAGAGATAGAGTATCTGAGCTGGCTTCATAAACACTAAGTTAAGTCTGTAATGTCTCAATTTAAAATATTTTTTTCTCTGCCATAATTGCATTTACTGTGCATGGTGTTTTCCTGGAAATTCTTCTCTGTTCAATCTCTTCATAGCTTCCCTGATGGTTTCTTGTCTTTTTCCCTGAATACTTCTACATTCTTCTGAACATTGCTCATTCCAGAGTGACTATTGTCCCCCTTTCAGCCTCCTGTGCAATTGCCCTTGACATAGTCTGGCCTTTCTGAACAGAAATTCCTGTTTCCCTCCAGCTTGGGCATTTTTCACAGCCTTTATACCACAGGTTTGATCCCCTGTTGAATGCTTCTGTGTGGCTGTCCAAATGCTCAACAAATCTGAAATGAAATGGCATCCTTCCTTCTTCCTCCATATGCATGCAGAAGTTATACAACTGCCATTTTTTGTTATGTGACAGAGTTGACATGTTGACCAGGAGTGTTCTATCACAGGTGATGATAACATTTGAAGACCTGGCTGTGTACTTTACCTGGGAGGAATGGCAGAACATGAACCAAGCTCAGAAAATCCTGTACAGGGATGTGATGCTGGAGACCTACAGCAGCCTGTTCTCCTTGGGTGAGTGACACTCATCACATGCCCAGTGGTAACATTTTGTCACTATTTGACAAATAAGTGAGCACTATTAATAAACTTTATAAATGAGGGACAGGAATAGAATTTGAGTCCATGAAGAATCTGATTATATACCATCTGAGAAGGAATTCAAATTGGAACATTTGTTGCATAGCTCCTGGACCATGCTGTTCACCTTTAATTAACCCAAGATAGTGATTTCACAAAGTGTTACATTATTTCCATTACTAGGGCACTGCATGACCAAACCTGACTTGATCTTGAAGTTGGAGCAAGGAGCAGAGCCCTGGATGGGGAAAGAATGCTTACATCATAGCCTCCCAGGTGAGTGTGTACATAATGGTCAGGGAGGCCAAAGTAGAATCATTGCAGCAGATGTTGAGTGGTGGTCTTTCTCTTAATTTTTTCCAAGTCTTACTTCAGACACAGTTATTCTACAGTATCTATGGAGATCAGTATCTCTGGTAAAGGCAAAGGAAATGAAGTTTCATGTGTAAATCGGCAACTGATCAAAATCTCCAGAATTGCATATTATCACAGAGGAGTGTTTATGTAAAAAATGAAAGGAGGTCACCAGGAATGACAACTGCACAATGAGATAGAAATAAATTTTGAAGAAATTAAGCAGATTCTGGTCTGCAGAAACAAATTCTTTAAATTGCTTGTGAATGTATACCGAAGGTGGTATATTGGGACTTTCTGTAACTATTGTAGTTCTCAGAGGCTGAGGATATCAGATTTCCTTAGAAATATGGGGAAACTGTAATAGAGTGCAGATAAAACAGTTTTTCATTAGAAAAATCCCACAAATGCTGTTTCCCTGGGAAGACAGAACATGAGACAACCACAGATGCAAATCTTGTCCCTTAAATGTGATCCTGCTTGGAATACAGACACATTAAACTCTTATCCACCTGCAAGAAAATGATCCAGCAAAAGTTTCCCATATTGATGTTTGAAATATCAGAGAAGTACAAAACAGACAATTTTAGAAAAATGAACTGGAATGAATAGGACAAGGAAAAATTGATTTCTTGGCAATAGCTGATTATTTTTACCAAACATATGTCCTTTCTTTAAAATCTTATATAGTTGTTTCACCTTTGTGAAAGGCAGAAAGTCAGTGAGAGGAGAAACAGTGAGAAAGAGATTTCCTATTAGCTACCTCCCCAGATACCTGCAGCAGTTAGGTCTGACTAATTTGAAGCCAAACGCCTGGCATTCCAACTATTCCAATCTGATGTATCACAGGGTCCCAAGCACAAGAACCATTATCTCCTGCCCCCTGGTATACATTAGTAGAGAGCTGTATTTGAAGCAGAGTATCCTGGGCTTAAATTGGCACTGTGTTTGGATGCAGACATTCCAAGCAATGACTTGTATTCATTTTGTTAATTCTATCCCTCTTAAATACAAGTAACTTCATTCCTTTTACATGAGTATGCCAGGAAAAAGAATTATATTTGATTTATTGACAGCACCATTTTTTTTTCTCACTTCAGTTGCCATGAAAAGGGATGACCTGATTAGGAAAAACCAGAAAAGTCAGGACAAAAATCTGAACCAGAATGTTATGAAAAACAATAAGACATCAACTCCCAAGATCATTGAATTAAGAAAAACACTTCGTTTAAGTTCAAACCATATTCCAAAACTGAGTATCAAAAAGAGAATCTATTCAGGAATGAAACCTGAAGAATGCAATGTATGTCACAATGTGTATCTGCACTGTGGGCCTGTTCAACTACAAACTGGAGAAAAATTTGATGCTACTAATGTGCCTGGGAATGCTCTCCAGATCTGTGAGGCTCTTAATCAACAGCACAAAAATCAGACTGTGCAACAGTCATTTGAACCAATTGGAAAAGGCAAAGTCTTCAAAAGGAAAAATATATTTTGTCAATCTGAGAGGCATTTTATGGTAGAAAGTAAGAAGTCAACTGCCAATATTGGCAAGACAACTCAAATAGAACATGATTTCCATAAAAATTCTAACCTCAGTATGCATCAACAAAGTCCCAGAAGAGAGAAAGTTTATGAATATAGTAGTTCTTTGGAACCTGTCATTGATCAATCACCTCTTAAAATAAATCATAGACCACATATAGGGAAGAAACCCTATGCATGTAAGCCTTGTGGAAAATCATTCAGTTATAAATTCTGCCGTGCAATTAATTATGGTACTCACATAGTGGAAAACTCTCATGTGTTTAATGAACATGGAGAAGCCACTTACCAGAAGTCACATCTCATAAATCATCAGAGAATTCACTCAGGTGAGAAACCTTATGAATGTAATGACTGTGGAAAATACTTTGATCAGAAGTCACACCTCATAAAGCATCAGATAATTAACACAGGGAATAAACTTTATGAATGTAATAACTGTGGAAAAGCTTTTGGCCTAAAGTCACACCTCATAAATCACCAGAGAATTCACATGGGAGAGAAACCTTATGAATGCAGTGACTGTGGAAAAGCCTTTCACTATAAATCAATCCTCACAAAGCATCAGAAAATTCACACAGGGGATAAGCCTTATGAATGTAATGACTGTGGAAAAGCCTTTGGCCGGAAGTTCCATTTCATAAATCATCAGAGAATTCACACAGGGGAGAAACCTTATGAATGCAATGACTGTGGAAAAGCCTTTCGCTGTAAATCAGTCCTCACAAATCATCAGAGAATTCACACAGGGAAGAAACCTTATGAATGCAATGAGTGTGGAAAAGCCTTTGGCCAGAAGTCACACCTCATAACACATCAGAAAATTCACACAGGGGTGAAACCTTATGAATGCAGTGACTGTGGAAAAGCCTTTCGCTGTAAATCGGCCCTCACAAAGCATCAGAGAATTCACACAGGGGATAAGCCTTATGAATGTAATGACTGTGGAAAAGCCTTTATGTGGAAGTCTTGTCTCATCCTACATCAGAGAATTCACATTGGGGAAAAACCTTATGAATGCAATGACTGTGGTAAAGCCTGTAGCCAGAAGTCAAACCTCATAACTCATCAGAAAATTCACACAGGAGAGAAACCTTATGAATGCAATGAGTGTGGCAAAGCTTTTGGCCAGAAGTCACACCTCATAACTCATCAGAAAATTCACACAGGGGTGAAACCTTATGAATGCAGTGACTGTGGAAAAGCCTTTATGTGGAAGTCATGTCTCATCCTACATCAGAGAATTCACACGGGGGAAAAACCTTATGAATGCAGTGACTGTGATAAAGCCTTTGGCCAGAAGTCACATTTCATAAATCATCAGAGAATTCACACAGGGGAGAAACCTTATGAATGCAATGAGTGTGGGAAAGCCTTTGGCCAGAAGTCACACCTCTTAAGGCATCAGAAAATTCACACAGGGGAGAAACCTTATGAATGCAGTGACTGTGGAAAAGCCTTTGGCCGGAAGTCCCATTTCATAAATCATCAGAGAATTCACACACGGGATAAGCCTTATGAATGTAATGACTGTGGAAAATCCTTTATGTGGAAGTCACATCTCATCCTACATCAGAGAATTCACATGGGGGAAAAACCTTATGAATGCAATGACTGTGGTAAAGCCTTTGGCCGGAAGTCACAGCTCATAACTCATCAGAAAATTCACACAGGAGAGAAACCTTATGAATGCCATGAGTGTGGGAAAGCCTTTGGCAAGAAGGCATACCTCATAAATCATCAGAGAATTCACACAGGGGAGAAACCTTATGAATGTAATGACTGTGGAAAAGCCTTTGGGAAGAAGTCACACCTCATAAATCACGAAAGAATTCACACAGGAGAGAAACCTTATGAATGTAATGACTGTGGAAAAGCCTTTCGCTGTAAATCAGCCCTCACAAAGCATTAGAGAATTCACACAGGGAAGAAACCTTATGAATGTAATGACTGTGGAAAAGCCTTGGCCGGAAGTCCCATTTCATAAATCATCAGAGAATTCACACAGGGGAAAAGCCTTATGAATGTAATGACTGTGGGAAAGCCTTTATGTGGAAGTCACATCTCATCCTACATCAGAGAATTCACACGGGGGAAAAACCTTATGAATGCAATGACTGTGGAAAAGCCTTTCTTAAGAAGTCATCTCTCATCCTACATCAGAGAAGTAATACAGAGGAGAAACCCTATGAATACAATGACAGTGGGAAACCATTTGGTCACAAATCAAGCCTCATAAGTCATCAGAGAATTCACACAGCATAGAAAGATTATGAATGTAATGACTGGAAAAGCCTTTCTGAGTAAGTCAGCTCTAGCACCCACATCAGAGAATTCACACAGGGGAAAAACCTGATGAATGTAAAGACTGGAAAAGTCTTTACCCATAAGTCAAACCTCAAAAGGCATCAGAGAAGTCACACAGGGGATAAACCTTCTGAATGCAATGACTTGGAAAAGCCTTTGGCCAAAAGTCAAGCCTTGTAAATAATTAGAGAAGCCATACAGGAGAAACCTTATGAATGTAATGACTGTGGAGAAGTTTTCTTTGCAAATTTCTATGCAATTCAGAGCTCAATGAACATCAAAGAAGTCACAGGAGAGAAAATTTATGATGGCAATGACTGTGCAGAAGCCTCTTCATATGACAAACATCACAAAGCATCAGAGAATTCACATGGGGAGAAATGTCATGAATAATGATAGTAGAAAGCCTTTTGTTATAATTTTCAACTAATAAAACATCACAGAATTAACAGGGAATTTTCCACACAATTGCCTTTTTGTGCAAGTTCCTTTTCATTAAATAACAGAATCCATCAAGGGAGAACAATAAGATTATAGTCAGTGTGGATATGCCTTTGGTGCCAATTATACCTCATCAAGCATAACAGAATTCACATGGGGAAAATCTTATGAATGTAATGACTCAAAGTCTTTTACCATAACTTAGCCCACATTGCACATCATCAAATTCATACAGGGAAAAAAACCTTTGAAAGTAATCTTGTGGAAAAGCCTTTACTTAGAAGTCATAGCCCACAAGACATCAGAGAATTCACATGGGGGAGAAATCTTATGAATGTAATGAGTGTTGGAAAGCTTTGCCAAAATCTCAGGTACAACATTAGAGAATTCACAAAGTGGAGATCTCATGAATGAAATAAATGTGGGAAAGCTTTTTGTCATAGGTCATACCTCATAATCCATCATCTATTTTGAATGGGAGAGACTTTGAGAATATAATAAGGGGTTGGCTCTGTGGCTCATTTGGTTAATCATCCCCCTGTGGTACCGGCATTTCATATGGGCACCAGGTTCTAGTACTGGTCACTCCTTCCAGTCCAGGTCTCTGCTGTGGCCTGGGAAGGCAGTGAAGGATGGCTCAAGTCCTTGGGCCCCTGCACCAGCATGGGAGACCAGGAGGAAGCACCTGGCTCCTGGCTTTGGATCGGCATAATTCCAGCTGCAGCAGCCATTTGGGGGAGAACCAATGTAAGAAAGATTTTTTCTCTGTCTCTCTAACTCTATCTGTCATAGAAAGAGTGAGAGAGGTAGGGAGGGAGGGAGGGAGGGAGAGAGAGAGAGAGAGAGAGAGAGGGAGAGAATGTATATATTGAATGTGGAAGAGTTTCCCTTCAAATAATGTAAGTATTAGGACAAAATTTTCTGCTGGAAATCACATCTTATCCAACATGGACGCATGTAACTGAGAAAGCTTATAAATATTAATAGTGTTAAAAAAGCATTTGTCACAAATCTATCATACATCAGAGAATTCAGATGGGGATTTCTTTTTTTTAACTTTTATTTAATAAATATACATTTCCAAAGTACAACTTTTGGATTATAGTGGCTTTTGTCCCACATAACCTCACTCCCACCTTCAACAATCGAACCTCCCACTCCCTCTCCCATCCCATTCACATCAAGATTCATTTTCAATTATCTATATACAGATAAATTTAGTATATACTAAGTAAAGATTTCAACAGTTTGCACCCACAGAGAAACACAAAGTATAAAGTACTGTTTGAGTACTAGTTATGCCATTAATTCACATAGTACAACACATTAAGGACAGAGATCTTACATGGGGAGTAAGTGCACAGTGACTCCTGTTGTTGATTTAACAATTGACACTCATAAATAGATGTCAGTAATCAACCGAGAATCTTGTCATGAGCTACCATGGCTATGGAAGCCTCTTGAGTTCACCAACTCTGGTCTTTTTTAGACAAGGCCATAGTCAAATTATAGGTTCTCTCCTCCCTTCAGAGAAAGGTACCTCCTTCTTTGATGGCTCATACTTTCTGCTGGGATCTCACAGAGATCTTTCATTTAGGTCACTTTTTTTTTTGCCACAGTGTCTTGGCTTTCCATGCCTGAAATACTCTCATGGACTTTTCAACCAGATATGAATGCCTTAAGGGCTGATTCTGAGGCCAGAGTGCTGTTTAGCAGGACATCTACCATTCTATGAGTCTGCTGTGTATCCTACTTCCCATGTTTTATGGTTCCCTCCTTTTTAATTCTATCAGTATTAGCAGACACTATTGTTTATATGATCCCTTTGACTCTTAGACCTATCATTACGATCAATTATGAACTAAAAGTGATCACTTTGACTAGTGAGATGGCATTGGTACATGCCACCTTGATGGAATTAAATTTGAATCCCCTGGCATGTTTCTAACTATACCATTAGAGGTAAGTCCAGTTGAGCATGTGCCAAACTGTACCTGTACTCCCTCTCTTATTCCCACTCATATTTAACAGGGTCACTCTTCAGTTAAACTTAAACACCTAAGAATAATTGTGTGTTAAATAAAGAGTTCAACTAATGGTATCCAGTACAATAAAAAAAAAAACAAAAGTAATAAAGTAGTAAGATTTCCCTCGAAAGTCAGGACAAGTGATGATCAAGTCATTGTTTCTCATAGTGTCCATGTCACTTCAACAGGTTTCCTTTTTGGTGCTCGGTTGTCACCGATAAGGGAGAACATATGATATTTGTCCCTTTGGAATTGGCTTATTTCACTCAGCATGATGTTTTCCAGATTCCTCCATTTTGTTGCAAATGACTGGATTTCACTGTTTTTGACTGTTGTATAGTATTGTATAGAGTACATGTCCCATAATTTCTTTATCCAGTCTACTGTTGATGGGCATTTGGGTTGGTTCCAGGTCTTAGCTATTATGAATTGAGCTGCAATAAATATTAAGGTGTATATAGCTTTTTTGTTTGCCAATTTCATTTCCTTTGGGTAAATTCCAAGGAGTGGGATGGCTGGGTTGAATGGTAGGGTTATATTCAGGTTTCTGAGGAATCTCCAGACTGACTTCCATAGTGGCTTGACCAGTTTGCCTTCCCACCAAAAGTGGGTTAGTGTCCTTCTTTCCCCACATCCTCTCCAGCATCTGTTGTTGGTAGATTTCTGAATGTGAGCCATTCTCACCGGGGTGAGGTGAAACTTCTTCTTGCCCAATGGGTTTGGCTATAACTTCCAGTACTATATTGAATAGCAATGGTGAAAGTGGGCATCCCTGTCTAGTGTAATGAATGTGGAAGACATTTTCTGGGAATTCAGGCTTGTATGAATATAGAATTCACAACAGGTCATATTGTTTGAATGCTGTAAGTATGAACATTCCATTAGCCAGAAATTAGACATCAACAGCCTTCAGAGAATTCATAAAGTGAAAAATCAATGTAATGAATGTGAAAAAAATCTTTCTGCTATAAGTCAGTCTTCTATTCACACGAAGAGGCTCAGAAGTGAGAAAACTTGCAAAAAAAGAAAAGTTTTATACGACCAGTCACCTCTAGATGGTAAACTGATAACTCACACAAAGGCATATGAATGTAATGGAATTGGGAGTACCTTTACTGTAAAGCAAATTTCCAGAAAACAAGATTACATTTACAGAAAAGTCTCTGAAACTGTGAAGTGTCTGGAGGAATTGTTTTTTTGGAATCACACCTCAGCAAGTGTGATGAATTGCCATGAAGACTGGTTAACCATTCTTGAGAGATTCTTTCTCTTATACTACCTTCATTTTTTAGTTTCCCATTATTATGAATGGAACCAGACAAATGAACTGTGTTTTCATGTATAAAGTTTGCTGACAAATATTCAACACTTGCAGCAGTTGATACAACAGTTATTTCAACAGTTTTTTGAAATGCCGTCTTAATCAATTATAAATTTATTTGTTGTACATTAGTTTTGATGTCTGTGCATGATTTTTGCCCAACATTATTGTAGTGCAAACGAGTGATGTTGATATAGGGTAAGTTAGATAGTTTAAGTTCATGATCTGGAAGCCACACTTTACCCACCCTATGCTCCTATATCCATCTACCTGTCAGTCAGATAACCCCTTCTCCAGGAAATATTTCTCCTTACCCAGAACATGGAGGTGGTACCCTGTGCTTTCTAATCACCTATAAGTTTGGGTAAAGAGGAGGTGGGATCTTCTCCTGGAGCAACAGCCAGCAGGGCATGAAAATCACCTTCATCTTCTCTGGCCCACTCTCCAAAGAAAGTCCTCATGTGCCTCTGTATTTTCTTCACTCAGAACTCAATTTCCACAATATTGCTAAGCTCTCACCTAAATATGTGTTTTTATCATGGAAACTATGAATATTATGTTTGAAAAAATTTACATATGTGCTTATGTTGAAGACTTTGAAATGAGTTAGCGTGGGTTTACCATGTAACCCTGGCTATAATCACAAGTGCCAATAAAGTCACTCATGTCACTCAGCTCCATCACTTTCTAATTCATGACCCTGGACTGCCTCTCTGAGCCTGTTGGATCTCCCCTCCTGCTCAGTGAGGCCTCAAATTAACTAGTTACACACTGCTGAGAGATGGAATCATCACAAAAATGTGGAGATAGCATGGA